GCTCTTTTTATTAATTTTTTGATAGATTGTTCAAAGTATGTTGTGTGCCGGGTGATTAGAACCTGTCTAACTGAGTAATCAAGAAGAATTAGTTCTACATGACGTCGGACTAGAGTCGACAATCGCATAGCTTCTAGATGGCTAGCTGTAATATAATTCTTGAGATGAACATAGGACAGGGATAAAAACTGAGGTATAATTAACGCTGAAAATGTTGTTACCCTCATTTGTATCGCTCATCTAACGTTTTCTTTTCACTCCAGCTTTGCTCACAGTCTGGGAGTTTTGAGTCGAACTCGAACCGCTAGGAGTCTTTGCAGTCTTAATTCCTTTTAGAATGATACGATTGGTTGATTGAGGTTGCGGTTGTTCACGCCTCTGTGCTTGAGAAGGAGGTCCATCACGATTTACATTGAGGGTGACGCGAGTGGAACTCGAACTCTTATGTGCCTCGCGTGTGCTGCTCGCATGCTTTAGAGATTCCTGATTCGATGTGAGAGTGAGTTTGGTGCTTCCATTAGAAACTCGGTTAGAAGAAGCCCTAGGGGTCTCATTGACTGAAGAATAAGAGGATCTAGCGACTTCCCGAGCAGTTTCGTGTTGACGAGAGCCCATCGATCTGGTGGTTTGGTGATTTGATTGCCCTTGGGCAACATGACCGGCACTAGAAGAGACTAGTGAGGCACGACTAGCGTCAGGCCGTTTTTGTTTAATCTCCCCATTTGTTCTTGGCATTTGTGATTCAGTCTTAGAGTCGCGAACTAGTTTCCGAGAACCAACATCATTCGTGGCGTCTCGAACGGGAGGGGCTCTCTGAGAACTTTGATTTGTTTTAGGATCACGTATTGATGGAACTCGAACTCGTTGATCACTAGAATTTTTATTATTATCTCGTGCGATGACCTTTTGATGACTACCGTCATTTTTAGCGTCACGAGACGTGACAATGACGGGCTGACTCATGTCTCGATTAGCACTTATTTTTTGCGCGATTGCTTTAACACCATTTTGATCCTGTTCTAAGGGTAATCCTAAGGCCTTCATGATCGAAATCCTCAGAGGGTTCACCATCTAATGAAAACGACATTGCATGTAATGGTAAAAGTAGATAATGCATGAGGAACCCGAGGGATCAGAATTTACCTCTCGAGCAATCTTGAGCGATTCTCTCCACACATCATCGCTGACATGTTGACGAGGTGTATTGCTAGTGTTCGGAGGAGGAGGAGTCGATGTCTCATCCTCGGTTTCTTGGCGAAGCTTGTGAAGACTATCTATTTTTTTCAGTGTTGATCTCAATTTTTCCTTCATCCTTTTGTGTTTCTCAATCTTTTCTTTGTTGGTTGAGTTCGACGTCAAATAAAAATGTTTCAAAAATTCGTTTCCAGATAGATGGATTGACTTTAACTTCTTCTGGATTCGCTGAGGAAGATTATCTAATGGAAATGGATTTGATAATAAAAATAGTTAATAATAATTATAAAATTGTAACGCATATTCTTTATTAATTCATTTTTATTACCCATTTTAGGCAGAGCCTTCTGAGCACGAGCTTGTTTATCATGGATCAGGACGTTACATCTTTTCGTGACCATGGAGGCCATGTTACGATTTATTATCTTGATGGACATTAAATTATACAGTCGATGAGCAGAAATTCGAAAGGATTCCATAATAAAAGAGGCATGAGCATACCCCTGATAGGTCTGATTTCCAGT